ACAGATATAATAAATAAGATTAGTGTAATGGAAGGAATGACTCTTTCTCTGTGTCTTCACAGAAATGTTTCTTTAAACTTCTGAATATGCAGGATGAATTGTATAAAGCTCGTATGATGGTATCCAAAGAATGACCCTTATGATGTCTTAATTTATCAAGCCTCTGTTTTCATCTTAATTTTCATCACAGTCTCCGTCTGAAGAACTTCTCTCTACTCTTTTTATGAATCCTGTTGTGTTTTTGCACTTCAATCTTAAAAAACCTCAGCTCAGATCAATGAAGAATTCAAAAAAGACTCTGCTATGGTCACATGTAGCGAGCAAACACAGCAACAAAGAGGGTAAAGTTGTGATCTCACCGTGTCCTGACCGGTCCCTGCAGCAGACCGAGACCCTGCAGGGTCTGAGGTCAGCTCCTGGACAGAAAACACATCACATTATGCATTCAGTGCAAACATTGTTAGGGAGCTAAATAATAATAACACCTGCAATGTAATGCAGTAGATTTATGCATGCTTCAAAACATCTTAAGTCTGTCAGCAGGGGCATGTCCAGACTTTTCTGACTCGGGTGGACTCATGCAGGGTGGTATGCCTGACAACAGGGGTTGCAAATTAGCCTAGAAACATGTATGCATGTCATCTACTTTTTATCTTACATAAGAAGCATGTTCCCTCTGAAATAAACTAAGTCAAATAACATATTAACCTTTGTCAAATTCCCAGAGGGGCAATCAAGGTTTCAGTAATTCATTTTAAAAACTTAACTGTTTAAAAAGTAAAAAGAAAAGAAAAGATGTTTGTGGAAAGTCACAGAAAGATTTGCAACATCAAAACTTCACAAAAGCTACAGGCAGAACCTGTTGCCCAGTTTTGAACATAAGCCCCTCCTCCTCCAGGCAGACAGCCAATCATAGTCTAGAATTTTAGAACGGCACCAAGCGTAGCGAGTCAAGTTTTAGGGAGGGCCCTGCCACCCCTGGCTGCCCCCCTGGACACACCACTGACTGTTGGTTCAGTTCAGTTTAACTAGAGATGTTTTGAAGTATGACAGACAAAAAGTGTCTCCATGAAGCTTATTGATAGTTTATCATTATGGACTTTTCATTTCAGAGGCTGTAGTTTAATCCATTTATCTGACATCACTGCAGTAGACATACTCTGTTATTCCCGGTTATCTTGAAAAAATAGATGTCTGTAACTTGATTGTGCTCAAGAAGCTTGAGCTTATACATGAAATATTACAAAAAGAGGCCAGGCAGACCAAACAAGGTACACAAAGAAATGCCTCCTGTAGGAGTTATGAGGGTTAAGAGTTTGATGGGAGAATAGGCAGAACAAAAACATGCTCCAGGACCATTATTGCTTCTTAACAAGCATTTCTTTACATTTTTGTTCAGCAGCCGGTCAGAACAAACAACATAATCAAACGTTTTGGGACTTACAACATCGTCACCCATCTGCGTTCTGTTTCCTGTAGAGACACAGAAACAGCTGGACTTTAGCTTCCAAACAAGAAATATGGATCATCCAAACTTCTAGATATTAAAATGTAGAGGTTAACTGAAGCTAACAAACATTCAACTTCTGTAATTAAAGCTTTTTTTTTTCTTCATGAAAATGTTCATCTGTGCTCTCACCTTTCCATCTGATGACTTTCACAACGACCACTAACAGAACTATAAAAACCACCACGGGCACGAAGATCAACCACCAACGCCAGTCTGCCAGAAAAATGAAAATATGTGAAGCATGATGACCTCAGCCTTCTGTCCTTAATCTGAATCAAACACAGAGAGCAGAAGACATCAGGAGACCCTTTTATAGTTGTTTTTGTTGTTGCTTTTTACCTGTAGTAGCAGCTGTTGTTGTTGGTGGTTTTGTTGTTGTTGGTGGTGGTGGTCTTATTGTTGTTATTGGTGGTGGTCTGGTTGATGGTGGTCTTGTTGTTGTTGTTGGTGGTGGTCTGGTTATTGGTGGTCTTGTTGTTGGTTCTGGTTTGGCATCCTCACCTGAAGTTGAGATAAACTCAACTAAACAAACTGTTCAGCACTAAACTTGTGTTTTAATATAAATTTCAAACTTCAAATCCAAAAAAAAGTTTTAATATTTGAAGTATTTCCAGTCCAAAGTAAGGATGGAGATTTTATAAGAGAAACACAACAAGAGACAAATTAACTTCATCAGAGTCTTTATAATTATTGTAATGTTTCAGTTTATTGTTTGAATTAGAAAAGTTTTGTTTGAAAAGATTATTGAAATACTTACTCTTGGTAACAGAGAGAAGAACTCGAGTCACATCGTCTGTTCTTCTTACTGGTATGAACTGTAGACACTCATAACGTCCAGCATCCTCCTCTCTGATCTTCTTTATAACCAGAGAACAGTCCTCTGTAACTCTCAGTCTGTCTGATTTAACTCTAGAGTTTCTTCTAACCTGCCCATATACAACCAGCTCTACTGCTGCGTTGTTTCCTAAATCTAAGAACCATGTCGTATATTCACACTTCCCGTTGACCTTGTATCACAGTTTGACAAGACAACGTGGCGTCCTCTCCAACTCTGAATGTGACTCTTTTAACTAGAAATGCGGCTGTTGAGAAAATGACAAAGAATAAAGTAAATCAATAAAATGTTGATTATATTCACAATCAGTTTGAGAATAATTCTTCATCTGTGGTTTCTCAGAGTTCATTAAATCCATCATGTTTAAAAAAAGGTTAAATATGTGATATAAATGTTCTTACCAGCAAACTGAAGCAGCGCTGTGAGAAGTAAAGAAGTTTGAATCCATTTGAGCTCGTTCATGGTGATTCTCCGTCTCTGTCCTCCCGTTGTCACGCTCCTAACTGTCTGAGTTTCTTCAGTAGTGCTTCTTTAAAGAGACGCTGCATCTACTTCCCTTTCTTAGTATGTCATCACTTCCTCATTTTGACTTCAAGCTGGCCTTATATGTTCATTTCTATGAATGTGTCATAGTTATTAAAACATGATGTAACATGTTTAAGTGATCATAAACTGATGATCATTAAGATGAGCTGCATCGATCAGTAAAGAGGTCAGAGGTCACAGCAGATGGTGATGACTTTGAAGTTCAGCTCTTTGGTGTATTTGTTACAGAGATGTGTTACCAAAAAAAAAAAAATAGGACGGAGGAAGGTAAATGTGTGAAGATTGAGAGTTCAGATAAATGTCTGAGTAGTGCAACGTTCCTCTTTAGATGGTGTTTCTGAGAACACAGTCAGGTTTAATAACAATCTCTGAATGTCCGTTGTGTTTGAGAGAACAGAGATCAGATGTTATTTTAGTGCTCTGAGATGTGTTGACACCTCATGTTGAGTCTTTTCTTGAGAAGTGAAGGGGAAGTCGTTTGCAATAGTCAATGCATGATATCACAAGAGCCTGTACCAGGAGCTGTGTAGCATGCTCTGACATGTAAGGTCTAATCTTCCTGATGTTGTTCAGGGCCAGCCACGGCCACCTCTTCAGTTTACTATGCAAACCTAAGACGACAATTCACTTTTGGTGCATTTCTCTGTACAGTATTTTGACTCATTCTAGTTCTCTGGTTAGAAAAGAGCTCTCCAGCAGAGGGAGAATTAACCCGAGAATGACGGATACCCCAGAAATAAAGGAATGTAGAGAAAATGTTCACTTTCAGAAAGACTCTGTAATTTAATGAAGGAAACACAAAAGGCACACAGTAGAATTAAGTGGTAAATGTTTATTTATTTGCAGATTTAATATGATTTAATAAAGACATGATTATTACAGACTGAATACTGAAAAATAATAAAAGAGATCTATTATGTTGATCCATATTTAAAAACATACATATAATGTTACCATGTTGGATGTTCATACTAAACCTCTGAAAAGTTTTTTAAACACAAGATACACAGATGTTGGTGTAATCCCCGGACGTGGTTTCCTGCTGCTCTGAACAAGATCTTAAAGAAAAAGTTAGGAAATGCATCAGAACAAAACATGGGGTAAAGTTGAAGGAGTTTCCCACCCGGTAGCTCATTAGTTCTACCCCCAAAGAGGTTTTAGCAAAGCTGGCCATTCAGAGTAATGTGGGCACGTGAAGAGGGCGGTCTTAAAGAGACAGCAGCTGAAATAAACCGTTTCACACAGAGGCTGATGTGAGAGATTTTACCAACATAAATAAGAAGGTTTTTGAGCTACACATCTCACAACACTACTCAACAGGTGTCCCAGACTGACATGATTAATGGTGAAAGTGAGGATAATAGATCTCCTTTAAGTAAAATATACACATTCAATCAAATATATTGAAGCAACGATAAGACATGAAAGTTAATTTGACATAGTGATTCAAATTTAGTTATATTGACATTTTAAGGCACTCAAAAATATGAAGAACTTTATACAAATGAAGCTTTCTACAAAAAAATATTATCTGCCATGTTTGCAAAAACTGAAGATTAACCCAAGTGATGATTGATAACACAACACAATCTTTCTTGAACAGCAAGCTCATTAAAAACAGACCGGTACGTTCGACCATGTTCTCTCCCTCCTCCTTCACCTGCTGCTCACCTGAGCGAGGAGGAGGAGAGGAGGAGGAGGAGGAGGAGGAGGAGGAGGGAGGAGGGGGAGGAGGAAGAGGAGGGGAGGAGGGGAGGAGGAAGAGGAGGGGTATTTAGAGGAGCCAGGTAGGAGAGTCAGGGGCGCACACACTCTGGGCAGCGATGTGGTGAGGAGCTTTTGTTTCCCAGTTTTATGGTTTTCCCCACATATGTTAACATTGTTGGGTTTTATTATTTGAGTTTTGACTGGAGATCACTGTTAGTCCTATTTTGGGTCTTTTGGTTTCTTTAGTTTAATCTTTTCTTCTTAGGTAGTTTTAGGGGGAGGTACCATAATGACGGCACATTACGTGGTTGGCTCAGCATCTTCCCATCTTTTGTTTTTTTTCTTCCGGGTCTCCAGCCCCTTTTGTTTCTTATCTATCTTTGATTACTTTGGGGGGTGGGGTATTTACAATAAATAAAGCTAGGGTTGAACTTTAAATCTTTGTGGCGTCCTTGTATGTTTTCGGTCTCAGAGTTTTGAGCCTTGGTTTAATAATTTTGGTTCAGGAGGCCGTAACAAATATCAACTTCATATTCCACATCAGCACATTTATCAAATCCTCACTTAGTACCTCAAATAAAATGTGGATCCATGTTTTTATGCTCAAAAGTACAATATAGAAATGATTAAAAGCGGTGGATTAATGTATCTGCTGAGTGGATGTTTGTGTGGAAGTTGTTGATCAGTGGAGTCTGACAGAAGCAGAAGGTTCTCCAACATTTTCATAGTTCACTGAGCCTTCATCTCCATCATAATACACCTGTGAAAATACAAAAACATACGAGTTAAAATGGAGGTAAGAAATGTTCCTTTTCTATATGAAGACAGTTCATATGAGGCTTTATTTCCAGCTCACAGTGATGTCATCAGGTGGTCTCTGGTTCCCTGAAAAATAAAGCACACAGAAACATTTCAGCTCTGACTTTAAGGTTGGTGGTGATAGGTGTGAATAAAAGTTGGTGTGAGTGTTTCTCACCTCGAGCTCTGAAGAGAAGAACAGTGATCACAGTAATCAGGAGGAGTTCAGCCACACGCAGAGCCAACATGACCAAGTCCAGATCAGAAGAACCTGTACAATCTGATGAACAGGAACCAGAGGTGGGCAAAGTTAATATTTCATATTTAAATGACTTCACAGATTTTGACTTTATTCCATCAAAATCACAACATTCCTCCCTGAGGTCTTCTTCAGGTGATCATGTTTTAACAAAGGAGGGGGGGGCACGCCCATTTATATAGATTTCAACACCAATAGGCTGATAGGCACTATGATGGCCCGGTGTGGTCAAAGAGTTTCTTCTTCTGGTTCTGCGTCCACTGAAGACACAAATGCAAAAACACAACAAGAGATAAAATCAAACAGCTAACTCAAGGCCAAGCTGAGAGCTCTGATTGGTCTGAAAGAAGCAGTAACTGCATCAACTACTTAGTAAGTTATTATCAAAACTATAGAGTTAAAGCTTTAAAAAAAAACACTTTAAAACATCTCAGTGAAGTGGAAAGTCTGCATGGTTGTGGGTTGACTGTTGAGTCATTTAAAGTTAAAGCTTTGTTTGCTTCTGTCAGAGGCTCAGTGTGATGCTTCAGAACATTTGGACATGTTGATTTGTTACCATTTATTAAACAACAAAAAAAGAGAAAAAAACAAAAAACAGGGATATTGGTAGACTGCCTGCATGTGTTGTCTTTGTGACAATTTAATAAAATCAGACGTATAAAAACGCTGACTCACCGCCGTGTTGACCTGTTGTTGGTGGTGGTGGTCTTGTTGTTGTTGGTGGTCTTGTTGTTTCTCTTGCGTCGTCGCCTGAAGAAGAGATAAACACAACTCATCAAACTGTTCAGTATAAAATTTGTGTTTTCATATAAAATTCAAATTTATAATCCAAAATATTTTTTTTCATGTTTTAGGCAAAACAAGTTTATTTATAAAACATCTTTCAGACTCCAGACAATTCAAAGTGCTTCACACAGACACAAAAAACATTTCAAACATTTCACAAGATGATAATAAAACTCTAAGAAGAGAATAAAAGTTGAGGGAAAAACTGAAGGTAAAAAGAAGATTTAAATACAGATAAGTTGAATAAATGGTAATTGATTTATTGAGTTATTGTTAAATAAAGAAACAGTGTTTCTACTTAAAAACATCTGAAAGTAAAACAAAACAAAGCAGGTCAAGTGTCTCTAATAACGGACATGGTGGTTTACTCCAAAGACACTTTGAAATGTTTTGATATAAGAAATGTAGAGTCCAAAGTAAGGATGGAGATTTTATAAGAGAAACACAACAAGAGACAAATTAACTTCATCAGAGTCTTTATAATTATTGTAATGTTTCAGTTTATAGTTTGAATTAGAAAAGTTTTGTTTGAAAAGATTATGATTGAAATACTTACTCTTGGTAACAGAGAGATGAACTCGAGTCACATCGCCTGTTCTTCTTCCTGATATGTACTGTAGACACTCATAACGTCCAGCATCCTCCTCTGTCATCTTCTTTATAACCAGAGAACAGTCCTCTGTAACTCTCAGTCTGTCTGATTTAACTCCAGAGTTTCTAACCTGACCATGTGCAACCAGCTGTACTACTTCTCTGTTTCCTGAATCAACAAAGAGCCATGTCGTATATTCACACTTCTGTTGACCTTGTATCACAGTTTCACAAGACAACGTGGCGTCCTCTCCAACTCTGAATGTGACTCTTTTAACTTCAGCTGCTGCTGCTGAGAAAATGACAAAGAATAAAGTAAATCAATAAAATGTTGATTATATTCACAATCAGTTTGAGAATAATTCTTCATCTGTGGTTTCTCAGAGTTCATTAAATCCATCATGTTTAAAAAAAGGTTAAATATGTGATATAAATGTTCTTACCAGCAAACTGAAGCAGCGCTGTGAGAAGTAAAGAAGTTTGAATCCATTTGAGCTCGTTCATGGTGATTCTCCGTCTCTGTCCTCCCGTTGTCACGCTCCTAACTGTCTGAGTTTCTTCAGTAGTGCTTCTTTAAAGAGACGCTGCATCTACTTCCCTTTCTTAGTATGTCATCACTTCCTCATTTTGACTTCAAGCTGCTTTATGTTCATTTCTATGAATGTGTCATAGTTATTAAAACATGATGTAACATGTTTAAATGATCATAAACTGATGATCATTAAGATGAGCTGCATCGATCAGTAAAGAGGTCAGAGGTCAGAGGTCAGAGGTCAGTACAGGCCGAGTACAGGCCGGTCACGCTCGCCTTTAATATTTGATTTGTTTTCTGATTCACCATCAGATTTAAAGTTTGTTAATTTTAACCATTAAAATCAAAAGATTACAAACAAATCCTTCATTATCTTGATAAGAAATATTTATTTTACATGACAACTCAGACTGTTTGTCCTTTTTAATTTATTATGATGAGAATGTCTGACAGAGTGTCCTCTTGACCTCCTGAATACAACTCTGAATGTCCGTCGTGTTTGAGAGATCAGAGATCAGATGTTATTTTAGTGCTCTGAGATGTGTTGACGCATCATTTTGAGTCTTTTCTTGAGAAGTGAAGGGGAAGTTGTTTGGTGAGAATGTGGGTATCATCATCAGCAGTCAAGTCAAAACAAACATTTCCTCCTCATCTTCAAACTCCTCTGCACGCTGCAGCAACATGGCCGTACTCCTGACAGCAGAAACACCTGAGAGGAGCTCTCTCATAAGCTCTCACTCTGCAGCAAACATTATCTAAATACACTATATCAGCAAAATCTCCTTCAAAGAGTTCACTATCAGAATATCAGTAAAAACCAAGTGGAAAAATGAGGCCAATGTGGAAGTGTGAAATCCTCTGGAGACGTAAGGCGCATAGCTGACATGATTGACGCGTGGGAGCGATGTAACCGTTCATCAAGAGGCTTAAAACCCGCCTCAGCTCCAGCTCTCAGCCTGTTGTTAGGTTGACTGAAAGTTAGGCTGGGACGGCATCCAGCATGGCGGCTGCTGACGATGAGCCTCCAGCGCCCCCTGCAGGAACAGATGCCTGACGTCACTCAGGCTTCATCCATTCATATTTACAGTCTGTGAGTAAAGAATGGAGCCAAGTTTAAGGACACGCCCACCTAGAAGCTCATTGATTCTGCCCACAGCAAGCTTCCACAAAGTGTCACTATTTTGCTGAAGGAGGCCGTAACACAGCTTAAAGAGAGCTTAAATACCTGCAAGTAAGACTTTGACAGTTCAATAGCAACAATACTGTTGCAGGTCAGAGCTGGTGAGGAAAAAGCAGAGGGAGAGACCAGAAATCTCACAGCTTAAAGACGTCATATTCTGACCTTTTTGGGGTTGATATATTTAATCTATGTATCTACTAAAGTATGTTCACAATAGCTAAAGTTCTTAAAAAGTGTCTGTTTTCATGAACTGCCGCTCCATGCACCGGCTCGCTTCTGACTCTCTCTCTAAGGCTCTGAAGTGCCCACGTTCAGAGTCCCCACGTGTGCCAAGTCTGATCTGATTGGTCGGCCTGTCGGCTCTGCCGTAATTGGTCAGTCGCTCAGCACGGTTCTTGGAAATGTCCCGCCCCTTTTACCATATTGGGAATGCAGCCACTCTGGCTCCGAGGGGAGAAAAATCATTAACACTGCCCACAGCAGGAACTCCTGAGCTGGTGGTGGGGAGGGCTTTGGTGCCTTGCTCAAGGACACCTCAGCACAGCTCAGGAGGTGATCTGGCACCAGCTACCAGACCAACTTCTATATTTGGTCTTAAACCCTTAAACCAGCGACCCTCCAGTTCCCAACCCAAGTCCCTACAGACTGAGCTACTGCCGTTTATAGGTTAGGAACATTTTTTTTGCCCTCCAGCCCTCCGTGCTGGTGACGTCACTGAAAGCTATGAATAGGAAGGGGGTGTTGAGAGGTGATTGTAGAGAATGATGCATGTTTAAGTGTGAAATCAGTACAGCTCAAGTTGTCACCTCATTACTACAAATTGAGGCATCTAACACTTAAACTTGAAAAACACAGTCAACAAAAAAATACATACATAGGTTAGGTGTCTTGCCCAAGGACACATGAGGCTGCAGGAGCTGGGGATCGAACCCCCAACCTTCTGGTTGAGCTCATCTTATACATAACAACAGATCTCACATCTCAAGATGACACTGTCTTTGAAATTGTTACATTGCATCTTTGCCATATTGCCTGCAGAGGGCGCCACCGTGCCTCTGTGTTTGGTCGAGGATCTGCTGAACTGTTCCTGTGATTTTGTGCACCCTGGTTAGAGCTGGAACCTCCTCTCTGTAGTTCAACCATAGACTGTAAATATTACTGGACGATCCCTGACCCGTCTGTGACATAGGCAGAAAATGAGTCCAATCGAGGGCCGCATCCATATTGGATTTGCAGTCTCAACCTAACTTCGGATCAACCTAACGACAGCAGTAAGGCGGGACCGGCGGGACTTAACTCCGCCCATTCAGCTCGACGTCAGCAGTCCACTTGACAACATAACTAACAGCTAGGCTGCTATCATCAACTATTCCTGCTCGTCCTGAGAAAACTCTACAAACAGTAAGTTAACATTTAACTTTTCTACAACACAGTTAAAACTAATTATATTCAACCCAAATATTTAATTAAAGTCTTAAAACTACACTTTTTTAAATATACAACTATGGTTATTAGTTATTTGTCAGAGCAGTTAGACTTTGTCAGTGTTAGCAGAGAAATACATTAACAAAGTTTTATCCATAAACTGTAAATAAATATGAGACATCCAGAAGAAATCAATATTACAAAGCATACAGTTCATGTTACTGTTCTGACAAAAAGAGGAATGTCTGTGTTTTATATTTACTGATGTCAACAGCGATGAGGTGAACATGACAATTGAACAAATAATTATTTAGTATTTATTATAAGACATTTGTTTTCTATTGAACCTGTGAAGTCATGGAGTCTGTGGACAGTGTCAGCTTCACACCAAAAACTAAGTATTAGAAAAAATAGTATTTAAGACTGGCATCTATTATGATGAGTTGCAGCTACCTTGTTCAATATTATTCCTGCAGATGTGGCTCATAACAAAAAAACAGCCTGAGCTGTCACATGTAGTTAACTGTACATTTTGTCTTGTCTGAGGCATTAATTGAACACCTTTGTATTTCTCCTATAGACACAGTGTGGATTATTGGTGACTGGTCCATCGAGGTGCCCAGAGAGCTGCAGAGACAGAGGAAGAAACCTGAGCCTCAACAACATCTGTATTTGTTGGTTCTTCTGGGGTGGACTTCAGTTGCTTCTCTTCAACAGCTCGCTGTGAGGGAGGTCTCCCCCGGATGGCCTGAGTGATGTCACCCACAGGCTGAGAGCTGAGACGGGTTTTAAACCTCTTGACAAACCGTTACACCGCGCCCGCCTGTCAAGCTGGTCAGCTACACGCCTTATTGTGAATAACTCTTATCCTTCATCAAATCAAAACTGATGAGTCATCAAAACATTCACCCCCCGTACAGTGTGTGTCCATCGAGACATGAGCTAATCACACCTATTTGTTTGTTTTGTACCAAGCTGTAAACATGTTCATCTCTGCTGTAAAAACAGACTTTTTTTAATGTTGTTTTTCAGATTAAATAAATATTTCTATATAAATGCACTCCTTTATGTCTTTCGACATTTTTTTTTACCAAATACTAATGTAGTTCATTTCTGAAAGTGGGATGGAACAGAGTCATTGCAAAAATATGCCCTTAAACACAGCCCCATTTTTAAATCAAGATACATGGAGAGTAAATAAGATCAATAACTTGTGAATAAAAACACAGTTAAAAATGATTTAGAAATGTAGTCTTCCCAGATCAATATCACATAATATCAACTTCTCCCATCTAAACTGGACAAAGGGTTTTAAAATGGGAAGAAAATGGTTTGATTGCAAGTTGTTTGGAGGAGATCTTTTTTTATTTGAACAGCATGAATACAGTCTTCCAAAGTGCAAACCCTCCTCCTCCTCCTGATGCTTGTGGAGCTCCTTCATGTACTGCTGTCTTATCTGCTGGCCATCTTCTCTCAGCAGAACTTTGACTGTTGAAAAGTCATTCTGAAGAAGCTTGAGCATGTGACATGGATCCAGGAGAACATGAACTTTTAGTGAGGGGTCTTCAGGATGACAAAGAAAGAGAGAAAATATCAGTTATTCATTAAATCATTTTTTTGTTCTCATCTATTTTTCTGTATTCATCTGTGTGTAAGAACACATTTATAAATTCAACAGTGTACTACTCAGACAACAAAGGTCCAGTATTCAGGTAATCAACATCTATTCAAAGTTAAGAAGATAAACCTAAACCTTATTGTAATCATGCTGTTTTCAGCTCTCTCACTCACACAATGATATTCCACATCAAATGGTCTCAGATTTTGTGTGAGGATAAATTAAGCAGTTTATTGTGGATAGTACTTCATCTTAACATGAAACAAATATAACCTGAATTATTTAAATCATTAACAGGTCCCAACTCTCTGTGCTTTAGTACAGAACATACAGTAACTCATTTATTATTAACATGAGCTCAGTACATGGCTGTAGTCTTCAAACTATTTCTTATATTTTATATCTATGTGCTTTATATCTTATTTTCATTCCATATGTTATTTATATTTTATATTTCTACTGCTATATTCTGTGTATGAGTTCAGTGAAAATTAATATGGTTATTAATATAGTTATTTTTTTAAATTTGTTAACAGTTTGCTCAAATCTTAAGACACTACATCAACCATGTAACATTAATGTCATCCTCTATAACCTACACAGCACATTAGGTTCAGTTCAGTTTATGTGACTGACGGATAATTACTACACAAAGTTTGTTTTTTAATGTCCACATTTACGTGGAGTATAACATTCATCATAACGTCAGATAACCATATTTACAGTCTGTGGTTAACCACCGAGATGAACCTTTAGCTTCTAACATCACACAAACTCATTATTTTCAACATCTTAACAACAAACATTTCTAAACCATTGACCGTAAATAATGAGCTACACAGTTAGCCGACTGGTTTACAAGCTAACCTAA